GCTGCTGCATGAGTGCATCTTCTGTACACAGCCTGTGCAGGGGTCGCAGTACGGTGCGCGCGAACACCCTCATAACCGTAAACCAGGCTCCCCAGCAACCTTGGAATGAAAGGGAACCCTTCATTTGCCTCTTGATTGCACGAAACCCTACGGGGCGATCCGGGGTGGGTGCAACCACTCATGAACCTAGCAGTAGTGCTGGGCATCTGAGGCTGCTGTGCGGCCCGGGCGGCTCGGACTCTATCCTTAGATGTCTGCGGGTCGTTGGGGACGGCGACACTCAGGGTCTCTATGTGTGCGCACACAAACCCACACGCACAGACATACATGATGTAGATACATTTATCATGTATCGTCTTCTTCTGCAGCCAACCACCGAAATGTCGGGTTCGAGGTGTCAGTACTCGGTCAGGGAAAGCTGTTTGCACATGGTCGGAGGCGTGGCTCAAACAAAGAAGTGCTATGCTACGGCCCACCGACTACCTTCGACTGTAGATCATCTGTATAAGATCTACCTATTACAAGTACCCGTAACTCTCTACGAAGTAGAATGCGATCTTCAGTGTTCAGGTTTACAAACTCAAGCTTCGCTGGGCGCTACCCATTCCCCCCCATTCCGTCTTGCCGCGAAGTGGCGTAGCGGCACATACCTCCACCACGTGCTTCCGGATGCTTGCCAGCAGCGACTCCGGGCAAATCATCCTGGTTCAAGGCTTGCGGATTTAAAAAGGTCTACACCATAAACCCTAAACCCTAAACCCTAAACCCTAACGACGCAGCTTCCTGACTTGTACACTGGGGGGCCTTGAGCAGACGCCATCCCTTTGTTGAACATCCAGCCCAAGAGGTTCTGGGCCCCAGGCCCGAAGCCTGAAAGGCCTACAAACACTGTCAAACACTAAAACCCGAAAAATAGAAATAGCTACAACTGAAACCAGAAAACTGCAACTTCAACTACAACTATAACTATGACCATAAGCACAACTGCCTCCACGACCTACTGCAACTATGCGCACAAGCCCCAAAAATCTAAAACACAAACCGACACAGATCTTGGAACTCAGAGCTGCTGCAGCCGCATTTTCGCCCGGGCGAAGCTCTCCTTGGCAGAAGTCGAGAGCTTTTGAGGCTTGGGCCTTGAGGCCTTCTATTCGGGCTTTGGGGCTTTTGGGGTTTAGGGTTTAGGGTTTAGGACGCAGTTATCTTTGTGTATGTATGCTTGTGCCTACTGGCATTTGTTGCCGTTGCTGTTGTCGTCGTCGTCGTGGTGGTTGCGGTGTTGCGGGCTTCTTTGGGTTTAAGGCTGTTCAGGATCGTTCGTTCTTAGAATCATAGCACATAAACTTCAACCCACCCACCCACCCCCCCCCCCCTGCCCACCCGAAATCCTAAAACCCAAAACGCCGAACCCTAAACCCTAAACCCCTAAACCCCTAAACCCCTAAACCCCTAAACCCCTAAACCCCTAAACCCCTAAACCCCTAAACCCCTAAACCCTAAACCCCTAAACCCCTTAACCCCAACTTCCAAAAACTTCTCCACCCGGTCGCGGGCATCTTGGTCTCCAGCGACTCCATGGCCTTCAGGGCCTGGCGCTTGGCGCCCTGCTCCGGCTGCCTTGGGGCTTGAGGGACTTTAGAAACTTTAGGGGCTTTAAGGGTTTAGGGTTTAGGGTTTAGGGTTTGGGGTTTAGGGTTTAGGGTTTTAGGGATTAGGTGTTAAGATTTAGGGTTCAGGGTGGTTAGTAGGGAATGGGGGGAATGAAATACCCTATATAATCCCTCGAAGTGTATATATAGAGCCCTCATTCCCTCATGCCCTACTCCGGCTGCCTAGGACATTAAGGGTTTAGGGGTTCTAGGGGTTCTGGGGGTTCTAGGGGTTCTAGGGGTTCTAGGGGTTCTAGAAGTTCTAGGGGTTCTAGGGGTTCTAGGGGTGGGTTCTAAGGGCTCTAGGGGTTCTGGGGGTTCTAGGGGTTCTAGGGGTTCTAGGGGTTCTAGGGGTTCTAGGGGTTCTGGGGGCTTTAGGGGGTGTTAGGGGGGTTTGGGGGTTCTAGGGGAGGGGTTCTAGGGGCTCTAGGGTTTCTAGGTGTGTTGGGGGTTTAGGGTTGTAGGGGTTCTAGGGGGCTTTAGGGGGTTTAAGGAAAACGTGTAATTAGGTGTTAGGGGGTTCTAGGGGCTTTAGGGGCTTCAGGGCTGTTAGGGGTTTAGGGGCCTTAGGGCTTTAGGGGTTTGTCGTGCTTTAGGGGTTTAGGGGTTTTGGGAGGTTTTCGGTGTTTACAGGTCTTAAGCTCAGAAAACCCGAGGGCTCTAGAGGCTCCTGGGTTCCCGGGGTCAGAGTTGAGGGGTGCTGCTGGGGGGCAGGTTACGGTGAAGCGATCTTGAGGCTCAGCGGCTCACCCCTCTGCAATCCAAGCAGCAGCAACATGCAGAACTCCACCGGTATAAAAAAAACTTCACCAGAGACCCCGTCGTCTACAAACCCGGCTCCAAACCCTAACACAGGGGCCTCTTTCCTCACTTACTTCAGAAACGCTTCTGCTGGGTACTGTTCTTATATCACAAACCCCAAATACAAGGGGGGGGGGGGCCATAGCAAAGGGAAGGAAAAAGCTCAGGCCGCCCAGCTGCACGCTGAAGCCGATGGACTTCAGAGCCGACTCCACAGTCGGAGCCGTGAGCTGCCGGCCCGTCTGCGGGTGAACGCAGCGCTCCACGATGATCTGGACGATGTCCTAGGAGAGAGGTGTCTGCGAACTGCTTCTGTCACCAGGGGTTTCGGGGGAATGTTTCGAGGGTTTTTTTTTTGGGGGGGGGGGGGGGGGCCTAGCGCTGCGGCCTCATCTAGACGTTCTTTCTCTGGCAGGGATCCTTCCAGAGACCTTCCATGTGCACCTCCCGTTCCCGGTCAGAAACTTGCACGTCGCCGTCTTTCAAGATCTTCTTGCAGATCCTTGGAGAGGGGGCTGAAGAGGTCTCTGATCTAAACTGCACGGTAACCGAACTTAGCCATCCTACCAAGTGACTTGAGCGGGCCAGGACCATCTCACAGTAGTAAGTGCTTGCAAGACGCTCCGAGGAGTCCCGACCCAAATCTCGTCCTAAACAAGATCCTCTTACGCCCCAATAGAGGGACATATCCAAGGGCCCCGTGATCCAACAAGCCCAGGCTTGATTGGCTGGCAAGGCTCTCAAGAAGATCAACAGTTCCGAAGGCCTGCGAGCATCAGGTAACCAGTCGGGCAGAGTGGCTTCCGCTACAAACACTGGGTTTGCCTTCTGCAAGTCCTTCTCCTTGGCGATGATCGCCTGGCAGTTTCGCATGAGACGCTTGCACGCAGCTGCTTTCAGTGTTGGAGGTTTGATTTAAGGGGGAATTGGATCCAGGCCTTGGAGACATTGGTAAAGACCGTCTCGGTTTGGAGGACCTCCTCAATGTCCTGCCACATTCACTCAAGGAGCCAAGGGCCTCTCTCTGCCAAAGACCAAAGCCCTGGAACTTCCCGACTCTGAAAGCCACCAGACTGTTTTTAACACCACACCAAACCCAGACACGCTAACAGGATATGTCCCACTCGATCTGTGAGTCTCTTCCATTTCTGTCGATCATTCCAGTAGAGCATGACCGCCGTGTTTTTGGAGATTCACGACAGAGCCGCTGCAGGTGCCGGCAGCTCCCAAAGCCAGCGGACTTTGTTCCTGCGCCTTTTCGCGGCAGTGGCACGCCCTACCGCTTCCACCGCAAGCCTTCGGTTGGCCTTTGGCAGCTGCTGGAGACACGAGGAGATCGAGACAAGGAGGCACGGCACAGCAAATGGAAGAAAAAACAATGGCCGCCCTCTTGTCTTCCTTTCCTTTCCGTTCCGTTCCTTTCCTTTCCTTTCCCGTCCTTGGCTGATGGGACTGGCACTTGCGATCTCAAAGCCGCAAAGCCGTCGCCCCCAAATCAGCAGCTGGGTTTGGGGCTAACAAGGTTTTCATGTTTGGGAAGCCAAGGGCTGTCCTTCTCGATCCCCTCGCGCCAATTCAGCACCTTGTTCTTGTAGCCTGAACTCAAGGCGCGGGCATCAAGGAGGTAAGGAAGTCCTTGCCAAGCCCTTAAACAAATCAAGTCCCGCGCCCGGCTTGAAATCTCAAAGCCTGCCGAACAGCTACTTCTTGAGCTCCCCGAACCCCTAGCAGGAAGGCAGGCAGCATGCAATCTCGAATCGGATGCCGTGCGATTTCATCCCTGAGTCCACGCTGGCGGATTGGACGGAGCTTGAATTGGCAAATTCTCATTGGCTACTTGCAGGATTGGAATAAGTTCAGGGCGGTTCACAAGAAATTGACATACCGGAGTTTCATGGTCCAGGGCAACTTGAGGTATCCAAACTTTTGGGGAAGCCGCGTTTAGGGTTGCGCTGGCCGCTCGCCTTGGGCCCACACGTGGCTTCACTGCTAACATCGACCCAAGCCCCCAGGGCCCATGCAACCTCACATGCCAATGCCAGAGGTAGCGGCGGACTACAGCGACGTTGGTAAGCCGCTTCTGACCCACAGGCAGCTTTAGCGCCATGGTGAGCGGGTGGCCGAGTCGCGGCCCTTCGAGCGCACAGGTTCCGTGGATGTTTTTTGATTGGTCTTAACGAAGGCTTCTGGTTCGAGCCTTTGAGGAGGCGCGCTTACACAGCAGCGATGGCGCGGCAGTGCTAGTTGGATCTGGGCTTGGGGCTGTGTGTTTGGGGCTGTGTGTTATGGCCCGGGTCTCTGCTTGAACCGGCAAGGCTGCAAGTGCAAGGAATGCCAGGAGACCTGCAGCCCGATGCGACCCAGAACCTTCCATCCTGTAGCCCTTGAAGCCCAAGCCCAAGGCCCCAAACTCCAAAGGCCCTGAAGTTATTATAGTAGGGGTGCCCGAATGTCGGGAAATACCCATGTGGGTAGTTCTCTAGTGTCGGGAAATAGCCGTATTGATTCCTATACCGACGTCCCAAAAGAACTCCGGAGCAGCGACGCCACCTCGGCCGAGGAGGACGGCTTCAGCGTCGCCCGTGAGGCCGCAGTCAAGGTGGCACCCTGTGCGTTTCATATGTGTCAAGGTTTAGGGTCTAGGGTTTTAGGGTTTAGGGTTTAGGGTTTGGGGTTTGGGGTTTGGGTTTGGCGTTTGGCGTTTGGGTTTTGATGTGCTTTTGGGGCTTTGGGAAGCGACAGAAACCTATTCTTAGATGCGGGGAGGGGCCTTCTGATACAGGAATGCATGATGCAGGGTCGTCAGAAATACCTTTGCTGGTCTTCTTCCGGGAGGCTCCACTGGGCGGCTGCCAAAAAAAACACGGATCCCAAGTGGCAAAGACCCTATCTTAGCCCCCAACAAAACCGAACCCTGAGAGACCAGGGTACCACTGTGAAAAACCAGGAAGACTTCACAGGGTTTACTTGGAGGTTCATGGGTACCTATAGCCACAGTTATACGTCTACTTATCACCTACTCAGGGACTCAGGGGGCTTCTAAGTAGAGTTACTTATAATTTATAATTAGGGTTATATACGAAGAGTTACTTATGATTTATGATTAGGGTTATATAAGTACCATGAACCTTCAAGTAGGGGCCTTCGATCCTGAAGCCTCCACAGGCTCTCACCCTGGAGCTGAGACCTACTTGGAGGTGGCACTTATGAACCAATTCTAACGGTACTTCTAACTGTACTTGTAGCCATCTTAGGGTCACTTAAGGGGCTTATAAGTGGGTTAGAAGTACAGTGAAAACTGGCTACTAAGTACCATGAACCTCCAAGTAAGGGTCAGAAAACCCCCCCAACCTTCGATGGCCTTTCGGGCCCCTTGATCCGAAAGCAAGAAACCTGAAGCTCCAGAGCCTCAAGTCCAGGCTCCCTTTTGCATCCTCAACCCGAGAATGCTTGAAACCCTGAAGCTTTGAAGCCCTTGAGGGAGTTTAGGGAGGTTGGGGGGTTTAGGGGTTGGAGAGTTCAGGAGTTTAGGGTCTGGACCGCAAGGTGTTTCAGCCCTGAGCCCTTGGGGACCGGGCGAGAGCGAAAGTCAACAGCCCGAAGACGGACTGTGGCCAGGGTTTGGGGTCGGGGTTCAAGGCTTCAGGCTCAGGCTCGGGGTTGAGGGTGCTTAGAGGGCCTAGAGGGGAAGGGTTGGCGATGCAAAAATCGCAGGCTAGGGCCCTCCAACCCTTTGGGCTTGGGGCTCACGGTGTTGGGCTTCAAGACTTTGGCCGGGGAGTGGGGGGGGCTTGTCACTTCCCACGGCGGCAGGGTGCAGAGTTTAGGGCTTGAACAGCCAACATCAATGATCAATGGGGTCTTACGTGATGCGTTGGGCGTGGGGAGGTTTCGCAGTGCACTTATTCCACAAGCAGCCCTCGCCTACGCTGCAGATCATCCGAGGGTCACAACATGGGGCCCGAGCCGTCGCCACAGCCAAGAAGTGGGATGCCAGCTCTCCCGGATGGGCAGCAAAGTACTCCTCAAGCTTGCAAAAGGGAAGAATCTCAGACTCCCACACGTAGCTTTTACAGACTATCAGCATGGAGTCAGTCGTGCAGACCGCAGTCTCAGCAGGTGGGTACAAGGAGAGAGGGTTCTCTTCATACACGTTGGATGATTGAAGTAGAAGTCCAATATCCTCAACCCTGAGCCCAAGCGCTCACACAGCAGGGCTCTGCATTCCCAGCTATGATCTCTGCGGGAAGCTACGTGGTCCCTTGATATGGTCCCATGGGTTCTGAAGTAAGGGCCTTTGGGTTTTATGCGGGGTGTATATGAATATGTATATGTATATTATATATATATATATATATTATAGATTATATATTATATAGAAGGGGGTAGAAAAGGGTTCCCCACTTAAGGGACCCATGTAACTATAGCCTAAACCCTTAACCCCGGGACCCTAAACCCTAAACTCCAAGACTACCGATGGCCCCTAAAGCCCCACTCCGGCCTCGATCCTGTGAGGGTCATACTCGAGCCTCGGACTACAAGCTGAGGCTGGGAGCCTTTGCTCGGTTTAGGGTTTAGTGTTTAGGGTTTAGGGTGGGTTTAGGGTTTAGGGTTTCGGGTTTCGGGTTTAGGGCAGAGGCTTGAAGCTGAGATTGAAGAAGGCTCGACACATTGCAAGCCATTTGAGACGGCAGCCTACCCGCATCACCGGAACCTGCTCAGCAAAGGGTGTGTCCCAAAGTTTGGGTGTGGGTTTGTTGCCGTTTTCCTCCGGGTACCGCATTTAGAGACCCCTACTTCGCTGAGTCTGGCGCCCCAGCTGCTGGACAAGATGGGCATCGTCGTCCACATCTGGGTGTCGGAGCTGCAGAAGACGGCTTAGTTTAGAATCTGGAAGCAGAGCTAACGAAAAGCCTTCTAAACCCCAAACCCCGCAAGCCTTACAAATTATAAACCCCAAACTAACCCCAAACCTGAAACCCTAAGCCCCACACCTAAGCCCCTGAACCCTAAACCCTAAACCCCAGAAAAAGCCCAAACCCCAAACCCTAAACCTTAAATCCTCAGAACCCACAAAACCCTAAATCCTCAGTAGGTCGCCTTGTCGTGGCGGTGGGCTGCTGAAGCTGCGGGGCGCAACGAGGCCCAGGGCGCCTCGCTTGCTTAAAGGGCTTTAGGGTCTTTAAGGGGTGTTGGGGTTTAGGGCTTTGGGTTTGGGGTCTAGAGTTGGAAAGTTTGGGGTTTAGGGCTTTGGGGTTCAGAGTTTGGGGAGTTTAGGGTTAGGGTTTCAGGGCTGTGGGGTTTTAGGGTTTCAGGGTTCAGGGTTGCGGGTTGCAGGGCTCTTCGTGATTCAGAGCTGAGGTTGTTGGGCAATCTGTTCCTGAGGCTTTCAGGGAGGATGCTGAGGCCTGGGGTGTGTTCCCCCGAACACCCTAAACCCAAAAAACCCTGAACCCCTAAACCTTACAACCCTGCACCCTAAACCCCTGCCCCCTTAACCCACTAATCCCGGAAAACCCAGAGATCCCAATACCCCTTAACTAAGGAATGGACCCTAAATTTTTATCAAGGGATCCTTAACATAAGTTGAGGAATAATTTTCTTAATTAAGGGGTATTGGGCTCTTTGGGAAAACCCTGAGGTGCCGCGCCTGCACAGACCAGGGCGAGCACGGGGAAACGCTTCGCAGCGGTCATTTGCTCGGGCGGCTTCCGGCGCGCTTGGGTGACATCTTGCGAGGCCCCAAGGTTTAGGGTTTAGGGTTTAGGGTTTAGGGTTTAGGGTTTAGGGTTTCGGGTTTAGGGTTTAGGGCTTAGGGTTTAGATGGTCAGCTTTTACCCCATGTAGCTCTAAGTTCGGAGATACATCTCCCGCAACCCTCCCTTTTAGGGCTGGGGGGCAGCTTAAAGACGGTAGGGCTTCGGGTCAATTGGTACACTCCACGGGGTTTAGATGTTGGTGCGTTCAAAGCGCAAGATCTGAGGAATGATGGGATACCCGTATGGCTACTTCACTCCTGAGCACCTTAAACGTAAGAGGCCATAGTTTAAACAGCGATGCACAAGGTGACCGTAGCTCAGACGTGGCTCTCTGCAGCCGCAAGCCACCAGTATCAGGCGGAGCACCCTAGACCCCAAATACATCGGGAAACCCAAGGTTCAGGGCTTTTGGGGGCTTATACCGGTTTGTGGCGCTTGCGGGGCTTGTAGGTTAAATAGGGCATGTAAGGCTTTGAAACCTTATGGTGCAAGAAGCTTGATGAAACTTGCAGGGCTGACGGGCTTTCGAAGCTTCTAGGGCTCGAGTTTCAACCTCAGGGTGTAGGCTCACTTTGGGCGGCGTGAAACCCAAATCGAAAGCCCAACACTGCCGGGGCCTCTTTGTCCTCAGCAAGTCCACCTTTCATCCCAAAGAACCGCAAGAACCCCAAGAACCCTAAAGAACCCTAAGGAACCCTAAGGAACCCAAAAGCCTTCAAAGCCCCCAGCCTCGCTAGCCCTGCATCCTCTGGCCTTCACACCCATAAAGCCCCGAAGCACCCTAAACCTTAAACCCCTCAACCCCTAAACCCGCATAAATCCTAAGCCCTAAATCCCCAGACCCCAGATCCTAAACCCTAAACCCTAAAGACCCCAGACCCTAAACCCTAAAGACCCCAGACCACTGAATCCTGAATCCTGGCCCTGCAAAAGGCTCCCTGGGAGGGCACAGTTCACGACCGGCAGCGCGACTCGGAGCTTTGCCTGGGGCTTCGTGTGCAGGGTTTTTAGGGCGTTCAGGGTTTCAAGGGCTAAGGGTTTAGGGTTTAGGGTTTAAGGTTAGGGTTTAGGGGCCCCAGCAATCCAGGAATGAAGATTGCTTGGGTTTAGGCGCTAGCAGGGTAAGCTCCCGTGATTGGGTTCAGAAGGGGAGCTCACCCTAAAAAAAAACAACACAAGGCACCACTGTGGAACCTAGTCGCTGGTTGCTCTGCCAGGTCCGACGACTCCAGCACCTGGCGCGAGCATTTCTGCAGGGCTTAGGGAGCTAAGCTTACTTGTCAAGTCGGTAGCCCCACCCTACTCGGCCTTACGGGGTTTAGAGGGCTTATAGGGTTTACAGGGCTGATTGGGCTTGTAAAGTTTATAGGGCTTGTATTGTGGAGGGTGTATCGGTTAGGGTGCAGTGTAGAGTGTTAGGTTAGAGAGCAAGTGGGAAGGAGACGGCGGGAAGGAGAAAGAAAGAGAGAAAGAGAATCAAGAAAGCGAGCACCACAGCTGCACACCATCTGGAGCTACTCACGACAGCCGCAGCCCACTGCAATGCACGATGGTAACGCCAAGAACGTGCCAGAAGTGCCATGTCGCGCAATTGCAGGCCTCGGCCACTGCACAACCAGACCGTAGCTCGGAAGAACGCGATACTCCCCTTAGAACCTTAAAAAAATATGTTTTTTTTTAATATCCTCTTGGGTTTTATATAAACAAAAATAAGAAAATTCCCAAGGGGGATATAGAACGAGGGGAACGCTGGGATCCCAGCAGGCAGCCAGTGTTGCCTCAACCGTCGCGGCCAGGCTCTGCGTCTGCGCAGGCTCTTCTCTACACCGGTCACTGGGAGTGGCTGGGAACGCCTCCTTGCGTTCGCAGCGTTCATGTTCGGCTGAGTGTCTTTCACTTAAGTTTACGCCCTTGGCTCAGGGTTCAACCGCCTCGCCCCCTTCTTTAGAGGACAACCCTGACGACGCTTAATCCTTGGTAGTCCCAGCGCTTCTCTGCACTTCTGTACCCTAAGCCCTGAACTCAAAGCTTGGAGTTCTGCACCCAGAGCATCAAGCAAGCACCTCTCACCAACCCCACACAGCGCACAATCCACGGAAACCTTTGACAGCACTCCAGCACCTGCTCCCGCTCTTGCATTCGCATGAGGACGCCTCAGTGAGATAAGTGCCGGACCTCAGCTCTACCCCGAACACCTTCATGCCTTAATTTAGCATACTGGAGAGGCAGAGATCTGCTGCAACAACTTGAGCGTGTCGAGGCTTCTTCCAGGCTGAGCCTGACCTGACCTCAAGAAAGCCATACAGGCTATGCGCGTTCAATGGCGGCTGAGGGTTTTGGGGAGTAGGCTTTATGTGGTTAAGCAAGAGTAGGCTTTTAGAATGACCCTGAATTAAACGCCAGCCAAAGAAAATACTTTAAAAACACACATCCGTCTTGCACGAGAAAGGCCATGTTGACCAAAGCAAGGCTCGCATCTGACCATATTTTGAAACATGACGCGGTATTCATGATAGAAGCCTTGGCACTTCAAACCTTACCCAAAGCCCTTGTTGCCGAGCGGTTCGTTTAAAGACGACCCCCTCGCCTGATGTTTCAGGTCTCTGTGCTTGTTTGCTATTTGCCGAGGGTCCACAGCAGTCGTAGCAGTGAGCCAGCTTCTGCGTCAGCCCCTGCATGTAGCCAACGATGTTAAGGCATGGGGGCTGCACATGAGGGATCACGCAAGTTTGCATTTTCCAGCATTTCAGGCTTCGCCATGTCTACGCGAAGCGGCTAAGGGCCCCGGCACTCAAGAACCACATCGCCAACCGTCCCCGCAGCTCGTCGTCCTCCTCCTCCCAGCTTTGTCTGCTCCAGGTACTTTCTTGCTGTACCCTTGGGATTGGTGCTTCTTCCTTGTACATTAAGTAGGTTGCAACAGTTCGAGGTGTTCGATGGCTCCAAAAAGTTCCCCGGTCTTTCCAAAACCAGTTCAATGCTATGGTCTAGCACTCCAGCATCCCAAGCTCTAAATGCTGTAAATTGCAAGCAAGACAGCAAAAACGCCTGGTGGACACATCCGAACCCTAAACCCTCCCGGGTCCGGTGTGGCCAGGGTGCTAAAGTCTGCAGCCGTCCAAGAAGGCATTCGGATGTAGCCTGCACTATCTTCGAGAAGCGCCGAGTTGCGCACGGAGACTTGATCAGAGTTGGGCGTTGGGAGCTGCATTATCTTGATTCGGGTGGGCAGGCGGGCGGCGGGCTCTGCATCAATGTTTTCAGAGCTGTCCAAGGCAAAAGCAGGATGTTTGCCAGGCCAACCACATTCGAACAAGGACTCTAGACCGGGGAAGATGTTCTCCTCTGAGCCTCGGGAGCTGCGTTTCCGTGAGTACAAACGATACCTTCTGAGCGGATCGCACTGTGTGGTTCCCGTTTTCGGCATTCGTGCAGATCGCAAACTCATCTCCATGGTTGCGGAATCACAGTAAGTCCGTGCTCCTCCCTAAACCCAAACTCCAGGCCCGCAAGTCTCGCTGCAAGTCTCGCCAACTCTCCGCGCCCCCAGACCCCAACAGCCCGCGCACCCTGCTGGACCAATTCCAGGGCTTTCTCTTCGCAGGCGTCACCCACCTGGCACCAGGCTTCAGCGTGTAGGGTTTGCAGGTCCGGGGGATAGCGGCGAAGGGTCATCACACGGTCTGTTTGGAGGGTTTTGAACTTAGGACCCCAGGAGATCCTAAACCCAATTTGGTCAGCTCTCCAAGTTATGATTTCGTCTTGGGGCGCCCAAAACGTAAAGAAGCAGGGACCCAGCCTTAGAGTGACCATAATTTGGGGTGGGTTTCTGGGACTCCAGGATGCTCGGGGCTTCACCACTATCAGTTAGTCTCTTTACAAACTCAATAACCCTAAACCCTAAACCCTAAACCCTAGGCACAGTGCTTCTAGGGTTGAGGGGTCTCGGAGTCCATGGGCTTGTGCCAAACGACACGAATGGTTCGTGGCCTTTATTCTCTCAGCAACCCAGGAAAAGACGAGCCCCACTGGCGACAAAAGCCGAGCGCAGCACTGTTTCGATGACGTCCTGCCAGCTCTGTGTAAAGCAGAACCCTACACAAGACCGCCCCACACCTGACCTCTTGAAAGCCCAGCTCAAACAGTATACTATACAAACTTCGGCAGCGAGCTGGGAGGAAAGCAAGAGACTGTGGAAGGCCTTGAGGCTTTGCGGTAGATGTCAAGCAGGAACCCCTGCCCCCCTCAAGCACTGAATCGGCGCGCCCAACAGCGGTCCTCAACCCGAGACTCCTGGAACCCCGAACTGCTCTGCCACATGGCGCAAGGCGCCTTCTTCAGCGCATGGCGGGCCGGCATGAAACTTTCCTGCAACCCCAGCGATGCTAGATGTCAGACCTAGTGGCTCAGGGGGGTAGCGGGTTGGGTTCGGATTCCTTCCGAATTGGAATATCTCCGGTGTGCCTTCGGAAGAAAGGGGAAAGCGAGTGTGTTCTGCAGGAGTTGATGCTAAGGCCTGGCGCAGGATGAATTCTGCAGATTCTTGATTCCGTGGGTGACTGCTCTACTTGTGTTTGGGTGATGGCCACAATGGGACAACAATTCCACACCGACTCTGGGTTCGATCATGGATACTGGGAACAAACACGATCCATGGGTCCCGTTCCGAAGCGTGAAGGGTGACAGGGCGTAAGTGCAAAGTTAACCCTGAGCCTGACCCTGAACCACAAAAACCCCAAACTAAATAACCCTATGATGAGACTTCATGTGAGTTCCTTAACAAGAAAAAAACCTCAAGCTCTAAGCCTGCTGAAGCTCGAAAATCAAGGGGGACCCCATGATCCTCATCCAGGTCTTCCGTCCAATCTTCCTGGCCATGGGCTTGGACATTGTTCCCTTCTGTGATTTAAGTTCTGTTGTGTTTTCTTGTGGGGTGTCTGTTGAAGCACATTCCATATAGCTCTTGGACCGAATCTTTACGTCAACGTCGATTGGAGCTTTGGGTTGTCGGCCCATGGGCTGAAGGGACAGGGTGTTGGGTTGTAGGGCTTCAGGCGAGACTTGAGTTGTCAGTACGGCACTTGGAGACGTGGCGCCCTGGGATTTTGAGAGGAACCGAATAAACCCTAACCCTAAACCCTAAACTCTAAGCCAAAAACACAGACTTCCAGGATGCCCTCTTCGTCACATGGACTCAGGTGGGAGTCATGACGGTCTAGCAGGGTTTAGGGTTTGGGGTTTAGGGTTTAGGGTCTCGGGTTTAGGGTTTAGGGTTGAGGGTTTAGGGTTTAAGAAGTGGTGGATTGATTGTGGCCGAATATACCCTAACCATACCCTAAGCCCTTTGGGCCACGCTGCACAGCCAAGGCAAAAACAAAGTCTTTGGGCAACAAAGCTGGGACCCTAAACCGACAGACCCCGGCTTTAGGGCTTAGAGTTTAGGGTCTTTTCCGAGGCCGCGTGAAATGATAAATAAGCCGGGCGTGCCACCAGCGGCAACTCTGCTTCGAAGGTCTTTGCCTGACATGCACACGACGCCCCAGACCATGTCCCAGATTCCGACTTTCTGTTTGTAGCCTATTTCTATGGGGGTCCAGAAAGCACGTGAATTGATTCATCTATTTCTCTATCTGGGTGCGTCCCAAAGAAACATTCACCAACATACTTCCCAAATACCAAAATCCTCAAAGGAACCCTGCGAATAACACCCCTGTTTTCGGCAACCCCCTTTTATCACAAATTGTTCTAACGTCGACCTGGAAGCCCTCAACCACAGACCTCGTACCAGAGACAACTGAGCCACTCAATGGACACCCGCTTCCCGTAGAATAATAAGAATGAAAATAACAGTAATGATACTTCTACGAATACTAGTAAAAACAACAATAACAATCATAATCATAATAGTAATACTAATCATAACAGTAATAGCAATACTAATAAGAATAAAAATAAGAACAAGAAGAAGAAGAAGAAGTGAGTTTTAGGGTTGAGGGTTTGCCGACCTTGTCGCAGGGCTTTGAGCCTAGGGGATTTCGGGATTGCCCATGGCTGCTGCCCACGTGATGTCTGGAGTGCACCCACAAGATATGCGCTGGGAGCGTCGCTGGCCTCGCCCGGTTGATCCCAAAACGCCAAACCCTAAATCCCAAGATGATTCGTGGAACACAAGCAAACAACAAGCAGGACAACAAAACTGCGTGTTTTCAGGGTTGCGATGTCCCCAAACAATGTGGCCTTGACTTCTCTTCATTTATTGTTCGGGGAGGGTTAGGGACTTAGGAATCAGGGTTGAGTTCCGCATCTAGGAAAGGAAATTCTGTTGCGGCATCTGGGGCGCGCGCCCACTGCAAGAGAAGCTCCCTCGCCCCTGCGCGGCAAAGGACTTGGCTTTGGGAAAACTAGAGTAGCTAACAAGAACCAAAAGCCTCACGGTTTGTTTGTGGGCCCACCAATGTCTATTGCGTTTTTGATGGCAGAGCACGAAAGAGCCTGCCATTTCCAACTCCGCTTTGGGAACCCAAGACCACAAGGAAGTTGGTAAACAGGGACCAGCTCAACCGCCGTTCATGAGATGACCACTACAGGGGCCCAACGGAATCCTGCTACAAGAGCCGCGTGTCGATCGCACTGGGCTGCCAGGCGTGGGGTGCCCACAATGGCCATGAGGGTGTCTGCAGCTTGCCCCACCTCTGGATTTCGGTCCACGGTTTGGGCCGGATGTCAAGCCCCAGCCGCGAAATCTAGGGGCTAAATTCATGAGATTTGTGGCGTAGACACTTTGAAGCTCCACTCGAAGGCAAGGACATCCTTCATGACAGTTCAGGGCTTACTGGTTCGAGCCTGTTTTCTGGGTTAAGTTTAGGGCTTATGTTGCCGCCAGCCGCCAACAACCTAAATCAGACTAAGGCACCAAAACCATGATAAATGAAGCACAGCGGGCAAACATCAGAAACTAGGATGTGTGAAACGCCTAAACCCTTTTGCAGATTCTGCTGCGCGTAGAGAGTTCCCTGATCCGCGCACATGCCTGCTCACTCTTACGGCGCACGGCTCAAGAGACTCACCCAAGTGTCCAAGCGTTCAGGCTACTTGGAGGTGCAGTGTACTTACAACCCCCCATCTATATCTGTTATAAGCCCCCTACGTCCTCTTGAACCTCCAAGTACGAGTACGAGACCCATCCTGCAGGAAGTCCACAAGGTTTCGGACGCCAGGACTAGCAACGGCATCGATGGCAGCTGAGGCTCGGCGCCCCCTCTGCAGCCAAATTCATTAGAAGGTGCCTGAAAACGCCGACTTTTAGCCCCCAAGCCCATGAGCACCCAACAGCACAAAACCGATGAAGCCCCCCTTACAAAGCCTCTCTGCCTTACCCATGTGTGGTCGGCTGCCGGCGCCTGCGCGCTTGCCAGGAGAAGGCCCAGGGCCCACCTTGGGCCAGCTGCCCTACAAGAGAGTAAAAAAAATAAGGGATGCCCAGCATGCCTCTGAATTCAGGGCTGTTGATGGATTGTCGGGTTGAACGGCAGGTTTCAGGGCGTCATCTAGTATGTCCAGTGCTCGCTGCTTGGAGTTCACGAGCTTAACCATAAGCCTCGGACCCATCCAGGAACACCTTCGAAACCCAAAGCGGCCCCTCAAACATGGCCAATTCTCGCAATCATGGTCCTTGCTGCTTGCGTCCTAAATCCAAAAGCCCGTCTTATGCTGGTACCCCAAGGGCCAGAGACGGGCAGGGCCTTTTTCCTTTGCCCGCCAGAATCATCTGCCGGAAGCAGACACCGCTCTTTAGCAGGTGACCTCACAAGCGCCTGCACCTGCATACAGCAGCATTATGTTTGAGTGCTGGAAGCCATGTCGACTCGATGGCGAAGCTGTTCCAAGACAAGCTTGGTGGTCCACAAATGATCAAATATCCTCTACTCATCCTCACTCAGACCGATCCCCCTGAGCCCAAGCTCCCATTCTTGCGGAACCCTGAAGCTGACATTCTTTGGGCAGCTCGAGCTCAGAGGCGTCCAAGATATGCTGGAAAAGAAAGCACCCCAATGGCCCTGAGTCTCGCACCTTTGTCATCCATGTACAGGGAGAAGGTGCACGCCTTGTCCTTCTCGGCCTTGAGAGGCTATGCGCAGGCGCTGTCTGCACGCTGCTTTCTAAGCCAAGACTCCGAAGCCTGAAAGTGCGCGCCTGCACTTGATTGTCTGGCCAGTCCAGCCCTCAATCCCAGGAGACCCTCGTCTGAACATGAATAGCCGCACCCATCCTGGTCTATTTTCACCGCTAGAATGCCACTCTGCGGAATCTGGCGGGCCTGGGTTCTTGGGAACCGATCCCTGCAAGGCAGCAGCACAAACCGGGGCCACTGGCGAATTGGGTAGGTCCCTCAAAACCTTCTGCCACCAACTGCCTCCTATCTTGTGGGCAGGGTTTAGGGGTACCCTAAACCCTATACCCTAAACCCTCAACCCTAAACCCTCAACCTCCATATACCCCCAAGCCAGGTTTCGGGAACTCTCAGGCGAAACACACCCAAGCCTCGGATCCCTCCGTGATGTCCGGCTTCCGGAAATAAAGCAGGCTCTGGCCCTGTGCAAGCTTCGGACTTTGGGCTCATAGCGAGTGTGGGGGGGCTTCTAGAGGGTTTTGAGGGTTTTTTTTTGAGGGGCGGGGGGTGGGGGGTTGAAATTCTAGGGTTCTGCTCCTGGGGATTCCGGGGGTCACAAGGAAGCACTGATCCCCACAGCCCAGAGCTATTGTCTTTGGGTCTTTGGATCTGGGATGGCTTAAGGGTTGCCAGGGTTCCCCCAACACCCCCCCCCTCTGAATTTCTGGACATCCCTGAACTTGCTGTTATCTTCCTTTCCGCTCTGTCTGCTCCTTGCTTCCCTAAACCCTAAATGCTAAACCCTAAACCCTAAACCCTAAACCCTAAACCCTAAACCCTAAACCCTAGATGGAGGGCTTCGCTTCGATTCACAAGGGCCGAGCGGCAGTTTTGCCGTTGCTGACCGCCTGCTGGCTGGCCTGAACATGGCACAGCACGGCACTGGGGAAGGGGGAGAAATTCCCAGAGAGCCCAAAACTCCTTAATTAAGGAATATACCCTAAATTATAAAGGGATCCTTGATATGATTTAAGGAATATTCCTTCATTAAGGGGTATTGGGCTCTTTGGGTTTTGTTGGGGGCTGCACCCCATAAACCCGCGCTGCCCAAGCTTACACCATCGACTCAGACAGTGGGGCTGTTTCAAACGCAAGTTTAGTTTCAGGGTCTAGGGCTCGGGCTTAGTCCCCATCTGGCTTCGTTTCATGCAGAAAGACATTCCCAGAGCCGGAATAGACCTTCCCTTAACCCAAAGCAACTCGCCAGCCGGTAGGCGAGGCAGCACAGTGACCGATGCACTTTTACATTGCGAGCATTAGGACAACCATTGCGCTGCAAGCTTCCGGGACTTTCTCACAGGATGAAACCGACATGAAGTCGCCACTTGCGGGTGTGTTGTGTGATGCTGGGGCCTGTTTTGCTGGCTGCCTGATCTGCTGTGCTTGCGTGGACCTTCTGGTGCATGACTCCCCTCAGCAACTGTGGGATATCCACAGTGTTGCTGACTGGTGACATCATGCCATAGCCACAGCACTGTACCTTTATTGGGTTACATCTTGTGGCGATGCCTGCTGCAATGTGTTTGAAATGTCTTTGCTCAGCCTGCTTGCCATGTGATCGACGCATTACCCCCACATCCTTCGCCAGTAAAGATGTCCATATGGGTTCGCTCTCCCAAAGCGAACTTTGCGACTAACATGCTCCTGTTCAGCTGTTCCTGCGTCTATGAGAAAGGTATAGGACAGTATAGGTTAGGGCGGTTTAAGGTTTTATTGTTTGGGGATGACGTTTTCTCCGAGAGCCTAGTTCCCCCTCATACTAACAGCCCTTAGTAGGGACTGTAATACCCCTACTATAATGTCTGCTAAGGACTGTTAGTATAAGGGGGAACATCCCAACCCCAAACCCTAAACCCTAAACCCGAAACCCTAAACCCGAAACCCTAAACCGCACACACTCAAGCCACTAGACCCTGAGCTGCCTCGGCGATCTTTGCCTGGACCTCCTCGGGCATCTCCTGCGGAACGCCCCGTTGCCACTTGCCCGGGGTTCGGGGGCTTAGGCTTTTGAAGGCTTCTCGGGCTTGGGGTAGAGGGCTTAGGGCCTGTCAGGGTTTGAAGGCTTCTAGGGCTTTGAGGCATCTATTCCGGCTTAGGGCACGGGGTTTCGACCTTTTTCCGCTCTCTGGTGTTTGGGTAGACCTTTAAGTGCTCAATTGCGTCCCCTTGAAGGAAGGGTGCTCATGTCCTACGTCCGACTTCCCAGCTGAGGCAAGGCGCCAAGTCGGCTGTGGGTTTAGTGTTTAGGGTTCATAGGGTTCATAAGGTTCATAGGGTTCATAGGGTTCGTAGGGTTGCTTAGGGTTCTGAGGGTTCAGCGTTTAGTGTTATAGGGTTTATAGGGTTTAGGGTTTATAGGGTCGAGGGCTTACAGTAGGGTTTCTGATTAATAGGGTTGAGGGACCCACGCGAACACCGACGGCACACGGGTTTCCCCTAAACTTGAGAACTTCGAGTCCAGCCGCGATGCTGACCATCCTGGACCACACACCCTAGGTGCCCAGAGGTCAGACACTGCCAAAGCTGGCCCTTGATGTGGGGGGGTGTACGAAAATAGGGGACCCCAAGATAGACCCCAAATAGTAGGATTCCCTTGCAACAAGGACCCCAACAAGGTACCCCCTAAGTTCGGAAGCCACCCCCGTATACTAGCAGTCCTGAATAGGGAATAGAAGAGGGAGTACGAGAATCCCTATTAAGGACTGTTAGTAAAAGGGATGTACAAGGGTAAACAGCCCCATGTGTCACCTCCAAGTTGTCCGGCAGGATGAAGCCCCAGCCTGAAGAAGCGTCTCGGGCAGGGCTTTGGTGCCAAAGCCCCGCACCCTCAATGCTAAACTGCTCAACCAACTACTACCTACCTACCTACCTACCTCCCTACCTCCCTACCTACCTACCTCCGGACCTCCCTACCTACCTACCTACCTACCTACCTACCTACACCTGCACACACACATACACATACACACAGAGAGACACACATACACACAGACACACACACACACACACACATACACATACACATACACATACACATACACATACACATACACATACACATACACATACACATACACACATACACATACACATACACAGACACAGACACACACACACACACACACATACACATACACATACACACACACATACACATACACCTACACCTACACCTACACAGACACATACACATACACATACACACACACACACCCCTACACCTAGCGATGAACAAAGGATACCCAGGCACCAGATTCGCAGCCCCCATTGCCCAGTCGCAGAGCGAAACTTCTTGGGGAGAAGCAGGTGAGCAAAGGATGGCGGGGGGGATCTAAAGCCCTCTGCTGCAGTCTTGGAGTGAGTCGTGGAGCACATAGGCTGGATGCTCAACGCCTAAACCCAAACCAACTCCTTTCCTGCTAAACTGCTAAAATGCCCAGCATTTTTCTCGGGAGAATGGCCGAACTCTCGTCACTCCTTCATCTCTGAACCTCTGTAAACTGCAAACCTATAGCTGCTCTACCTCTGCGCATCTCTGGGCCGTCGAATTACAGATATGTCGTTCCAAATCGTCGCGGGGATACGAGGCCCGGGCCGAACTTCTTGTTGTGCATCGCGATCGTACCCGTGAAGGTGCCACCAAGTACCTGACGGCTGGTGCGGGCGCATAGCCACATGCGGAGTATGGGCATGGCCAACACCTGTATTCTGCTGCTCATCGCATGCGGCACAAGTTGGGGCCGGGCAATGGACCCTTGGCCCGGTCAAGACTGCTCCTACGGAAAGAACGGCGGGCTCTCTTCAAAACAACTGCCCGAAGAGCCTTAACGGCCATCAGGTCCTTTAAAGCCTTCGATTTGTCAGCGTGACTGAAGAGCCCACAGCTCCCCATGCAGTAGATCTACTCGAGTGTCCTCGAAGGTCCTCGACGTCCGGGGCTCCGTTTTCAGGATCCCTCGCACTCAGAAAGCTGCTAAGCTCGCTGTGCAGGTTCTGCGCTTTGCGGCTCAGGATTTAAGAGCCTGAGGGCTTCAGGATTCCGGATGAAGACTGGACCAGTCCCAGCATCCCGATTCGACTCCTTCGCCCACCAGAACCTCTCCCCAAATTCTACAACTCCAGACCTTGAGGAACTTCAAGCTCGAGTCCGGCTCGCTCTAGCTACCAGTAGGTGGTTCTGCTGGAGGCAGAACCTTTCAAGGCTTCACATGTAGGGGCCGCAAGGGCTGGAGATCTCTTGAGAAAGCTGTCGCTTGAGCAGCAAGTGGGTCGGGATCGTGCCCAGATGGCAACAGACCACCAGCGAGCACGTGGCACTTGACAGGGCCATCTCTGGCCAATCCTCGCCTTCCCCGATATCTCTATGGCTATGAAGACTGTTGCCAGCCTTAGGCTCCTATCCCTCCTAATAGTATATCTCAGTACTTCGAAGTTCATCAATTGTAGGTGTAACAAGTGTCCAAGAACGGGATAGCTACGTGTGAGGTGATTCTGCCCGCCAGTCACGGGTTGGACGGATTGGACCCATACTACGAAGCCATTGGCAGCGCGAAGGGTGACCTGCCAAGTGCTTTGTCCTGAATCTGTCCAAGTATTCGACGCTGTTCCACAGGAGTAAGGACCAAAGAAACGAAACCGCTGCTGCTAACAGACACGGGGTCAACACTGCAAGATGCTGGAGCGGTCCTTACGCCATCCCCTGCACTGTACGAATTATCCTGCCGTCCTTACCGCAGGCTTGTTTTGCGAGTAGTGAAACAGGGGACGAATTCAGAGTAAGAGCTCCCGCGGGAATGCACAGAAGTTCAACGCGCCGATACACGGGAACCTCCGAAGCATCATAAAGCAAACCAATTGCAGCTCACCCACTCACAGTTCGTACATGTTAATACCATCCCAAAGAATTGACTCCCGCTTGCCTGTGCCCCTGGGCGAGGGGCGAGGGCTGCGCGCCTGCAAGTGCAGTCTACTCTCGCGCTGGGGTTCTAACAGCCCACAAACCGAGCAGCGACACCAGTTGAAAGATAAGGCCCGATATGATGTTGTAAGCCGCAAACAAAGAAACCTGCTCGGCCCTCCCCGGAGGAGTTCCTACACGAAGAACCCTTGCTTCGGTGTGTGTGTGTGTGTGTGTGTGTGTGTGTGTGTGTGTGTGTGTGTGTGTGTGTGTGTGTGTGTGTGTGTGTGTGTGTGTGTGTGTGTGTGTGGTGTGTGTGGTGTGTGTGTGTGTGTGTGTGTGTGTGTGTGTGTGTGTGTGTGTGTGTGTGTGTGTGTGTGTGGTGTGTGGTGTGTGGTGTGTGGTGTGTGGTGTGTGGTGTGTGTGTGTGGTGTGTGGTGTGTGGTGTGTGGTGTGGGGTGTGGGGTGTGTGGGTGTGTGGGTGTGTGGGTGTGTGGGTGTGTGGTTGTGTGGTTGTGTGGTTGTGTGGTTGTGTGGTTGTGTGGTGTGTGTGTGTGTGTGGCTGTGTGGTGTGTGGTGTGTGTGGTGTGTGGGTGTGTGGGTGTGCGGGTGTGTGTGGGTGTGTGGGTGTGTGGGTGTGTGGTGTGTGTGTGTGTGTGTGTGTGTGTGTGTGTGGTGTGTGTGGGTGTGTGGGTGTGTGTGTGGTGTGTGTGGTGTGGTGTGTGTGTGTGTGTGGGTGTGTGTGTGTGTGTGTGTGTGTGTGTGTGTGTGTGTGTGTGTGTGTGTGTGTGTGTGTGTGTGTGTGTGTGTGTGTGTGTGTGTGTGTGGTGTGTGTGTTGTGTGTGGTGGTGTGTGGGTGTGTGTGGTGTGTGTGTGTGTGTGTGTGTGTGTGTGTGTGTGTGTGTGTGTGTGTGTGTGTGTGTGTGTGTGTGTGTGTGTGTGTGTGTGTGTGTGTGTGTGTGTGTGTGTGTGTGTGTGTGTGTGTGTGTGTGTTGGTGTTGGCAGCGAGTGCGGGTGGCTAAGGACACCGACTCTTGGGACCCTACTAGTAGCAGCCCTAAACTGGCTGGAGCTTGACTACTGTGTGCCAAGTCGAAATTCAGAGAACCCCCTGAGCTCCAGCGATGAGCATCAGACAAGTAGATGCGGGGAAGCCTACATGGAAAACACATTGTCAACGTCAACTGCTCAAACCCCACAGGGTTTTGGGTAGTTCTCTAAAATTAGGGTCCCTTTCTGGGTCCCTACATAGTACGGCATCCTCAGGACCCCAAAAAAGGAACCCCAACTTGGAAAACTACCCAGATAAACCCCCCAGGCCTCGCGGGCAGGTGGCAGCTCAGCACCGCCTACACGGGAAGTGGTCTGCAGCGGCTCGCTGCTTTCATTGTGGGGGGGATGGGAAGAATGACCCGTTTTGGAGAGCCTGGAGAACTACATATTCGCTGTAGTCAGGGCCACCTAGAAGGGCCTATGATTTAGAAACCTCCCATGCAATCCTTTGGAGCTGAACGCCTTTGGTGCTGGACAACTGGCAATTCTGTAAACCCTAAACCCTAAACCCACCGGGGCCTCTGGGGCTGCCTGTGGACTGCACTGACAGCTTCGAGAAGGTGCGGCCCACATGAAGTTCTCCTCCACGGAATGGGGTTTAGGGTTTAGGGTTTAGGGTTTAGGGTTTAGGGTTTAGGGTTTAGGGTTTAGGGTTTAGGGTTTAGGGTTTAGGGTTTAGGGTTGCCCCTACGAAAACAATTTGGAATTGGTAGGAAATCGATTCACGCTCGTAGGGAGGCCGAAATCTCCAGCGCTTGAATCGGGAATCTTGCTTGAATCGCGCGTAGTGCTTGTGAATCGTCCGCCTTGGGGGGAATCGGGACTTGCGCCTCAATCGCACGTGCCTGAAATCACCAGCGCTTGAACCGTTCGGGGGCTTGAATTGCCGGTGCTTGAATCGCGTTTTTCTTTCAGTCTGCTTGATTCGCATCCGATTTCTCCTGTGCTTCCCTGTGCTTCTGAATAGGGTTCAAGGCGAGATAATCTGGGGGCCAACTGGACACGTTGCGAACGTTGCTCGTCATGACTTCCAAAGAGAGAGTCGCCTGTCTAGGGTTTGGCAACGTTTGGGTTCAGAGCACGCTTAACCCTCAAGTCCCAAAAACGAGCAACATTCCCAGCCCCAGCCCATGAGCCCCAGCGCCTGTGGGGGACTGCACTGACACCTTGGAATTGCCACGGACGATCTCGCGCCCTGGATGCATAAGGGTTGACAGACAAACGAACGGGATGGCGAACCCTGCGCCGTGCCTTCAGTTCTCAAGCTCGATTTCTTTGGGCTCGTCACCTGATTGACAAGAATATCACAAGAAGCATGCAGATGTGCACAGAGCCCAGTTACTTGGTGTCTTGTTTCAGCTTTGGCTTGGGCTTGAGCCGCGGCTGATCAAGGAGCCGGGTTTTTGTTGGGGTGATTTTTGTTTGGTTGTTTTTGGGTGTTTTTTGGGTTTAGGGTTTAGTGTTTAATCTTTAGGGTTTAGGGTTTTAGGGTTTTAGGGTTTTAGGGTTTTAGGGTTTTAGGGTTTTAGGGTTTTAGGGTTTTAGGGTCTTAGGGTTTTAGGGTTTTAGGGTTTTAGGGTTTTAGGGTTTTAGGGTTTTAGGGTTTTAGGGCTTTCGGGTTTTAGGGTTTTAGGGTTTTAGGGCTTTAGGGTTTTAGGGTTTTAGGGTTTAGGGGTTTTAGGGTTTTAGGGTTTTAGGGTTTAGGGTTTAAAGTTTAGGGTTTAAAGTTTAGGGTTTAAAGTTTAGGGTTTAGGGCTTAGGGCTTAGAAAGCCAAAAAAAATAGACCAAAAAAACACCCCAAAAGAACCCCCACCCGCTGATCGAGCCTCCAAGTGTGCGATGCCAAAAGCAATTGAGCACAAGAGGGTTCTTTCAGGGGCGATTCAGGAATGGCTCCGCGTGCAGGAAAGCGTAGTGCTAAACCAGATCCAGAAGATGCAGACGTGCGTGCGGACATGCGGACGCACCGTTCCAGACGTAACGACCCCTCGCTCCAGCAGGCAGCTGAACTCACTTTTTCTTCAACGCTTCAAAGCCACAAACCCCCTCAAACCCACAAACCCTAGACCCTAAACCCCACAAGCCCCAGACCCTAAACCCTGCGGGACCCATCAGAAGCTTAGGCAGCTGCTGGAACCATGAGCTTTGAGCCACTGCGCGCCAAGGATTCTGGCCCTGGACAGCAGCGCACAGAAAGCTTGGCGCGGCTTTTGGGGGCCTCTCTGGGGGATGGGCGCCTTTGGGGTTGTAGAGCTTTAGGGGCCTCAGGGCTCCAGGGATAGTTAGCCCAAACTCTCCATCTAAAGACCAGAATCATCCGATATTTTGGGGGTGGATGCTGGGGTTGAGGGCTTCACTGTGTGGTGCGGTGCGTGCTTCTGGCCTGGAGCACAAGGTACCCTCAGCGCCTTAACAAGGGTATTCTCGGAGTCTTTCCTTTACATTCTACTACAGCGACATCGGCACATTCCACGAGTCTAGGTATGGCAACTGTTAATAAATCTACTCTATGCTACGTCGGGAGATTCTAAGGGTCGAAAATTGGGAAGATGTCCCCTGCATAAGGGCAGGCTGGAGGGGACCATGGGCCTGTCCGCTGGAGAGCGCCTCCGAGAGACTTCGGGCCTCCCCCGAGGCGAGGAGCTTCGGGGGCTTTGGGGGTTTAGAGGGCTCTTAAGCTACTAATTGCTTAAGAACCCCGGCAAAAAACAAAATTATTCTTCCTTATTAAGGGTAAGTAATGTTGGGATTAATATTCTTTATTCTTTTGGGATTCTTAAGCGAATAGTAGTAAAGGCTCTTGAGGGCACAAGGGGTAGGGTTTGGGAGCCTTCGGGGTTAAGGGGGTATCGGAGCTTTGGAGCTCCGGTTTTCTGAACACTTGCCCTAAACCCTAAACCCCAAACCCTAAACCCCAAACCCTAAACCCTAAACCCTAAATCTTAAATGGACTGGCTTGTTTAGGGTTCAGGGCCGTTTCCATCAGGGCCGAAGGGCTCCAGACACAAGGCCTCTGCCCCAAACCCCAAAATTCCCTCAAAACCCTAAATCTGTGCAACCACTACCCAGAACCTCTGAAAACAGCTCTAAGCCTTGCAAGCTGTAAATGTTCGGGGCCAAATCGCCTAAGGTTCTGCGTAGCCCAGAACCAAACTTCAAACTCTTCAACGCTGGCTCGGCAAAGCCCCCTGCAACGCCGCCTAAACCCCCCCAAGCACTAGACCCCAAAGCCCCCCTTCAGCCGTTCACGTACCAAAACATGGAGGAAGAACGCGTTCCACATATCTGGCAGAAGGAACTTCCAGTCCTAAATCCTGGGGCGCCTTCCCACGCCAAAGAGACCTTCGAGTTGCCCCGGTGCAAGTCGATGGCAGCCAATTCTGTCGGGCTTAGGGCTCATGGTTGAGGGTTGAGGGCTTAGGACTGAGAGGGGGCTTCGAAAAAGGCGCCTTCGAAACGGGGGATTGTTGCTAAACGCTGAACCCCACCCCTCGGGTCTAAACCCTCTAAGACCTCTAAACTTTCTGAACTTTGACGGGAACAGGAGGACTTCGAGGAAGCGTTGGTGCAGTTTCTGTCCTGTTCGAAGCCCTTGGCCTGGGATTGATTCTCAAGGGCTGGACAGGCGTATATAGAGAATTTATAAGCAGGGTTTAGGGCTTTCAGGTTCTTGCTTTGAGTGTGTGTGAAAGGGTGTCTGCACAGCATGCCCCAGCTGCTGTGGTGCGTTCTAAGCCCGAGCATGCTCAGGCAAACGAATCCCACATCTACGCGCTTCGCACAGTGAACCCTAAGCCCGAAACCTCCGTCCGGTTTCGTCGGCGGCGGTGCCGGACTTCGAGCCTGGAGGCAAGGGGAGATGCGGAGAGGGCTGAGCTGACCTAAAGGATGCAAAAGGGCGCCGCCCACGTAATCATCCTGTGGCTGAGAAAAAAGCCACCCTTACATCCGCCCCTCCAGAACCTCCCAGCTCCAAACTCCACACCTCGCGTCACAACACCCTCAGATTTTACCGCCCTTCCGAGTCTCCAGAGGCCCTCAAACCTGGGCTCCGGCTGCGGGGGCGGCCACCCGCCCGGACTGGAGGGACATCTTGGAGTAGCTGCGCGCCAAGAGCTCCAGATCATGGCCTCCAGCTGTCGGGGTTTAGGGTTTAGGGTTTAGGCTTTAGGGCTGTTCAGGGTTCAGGGTTTAGGGTTCAGGGTTCAGGGCTCGGGGCTCCAGAGTTTTGGGAATGTGGGTTTCAGCCCTGAATCTGAACACTAAAGTCACTAAAGTCACAAATCTCGAAACCCTGCTCCATTCACTGGCCGGCAGTCTAGGTGCGACGGAGACTTCTGAAGGCTTCATAATTCCTCAACTTTCGGGATTCGGGGTTAGGGGGGCCTACGTCTCTCACGCTGCAGACTAGCTGAACCACCCGAAACCCTAAACCCTATACCCGAACACCCGGAGCCTGGCGACTTCTCGGATGTTTGGCTCGGGGCCGCAATCGCTGCCAGGGAGACCTGGCGGGGGAAGTGCCGGCTCGGCAGCGTGGTACCTTACTGGGATCCTTATGAAAAGGGAATCCTACTATGTGGGGATCTAGATTTTGGGGTCCCCTAGTTTCGTAAAACCCCCGCTTAAGGTTTAAAATGCCGCAGACGCCGTAACATGTCCGTGGAAGAAACCCTGCATGAAGCATTGGCAGCACCGATGCCCCCCAAAACCAGAAGCCATCCCTCCCCTGCACTCCCCCTCCCACATGTTCCCGTGCGGCAGCCAAAGAAGCCCCTGCCGCTAACCTCCAACCTACTAAACGCTGCACTCCTGAACCCCGAACCCCAGAATATACCGAAACCCGAAACCCCAAACCCTAAACCCTAAACCCCCTGCCAACCAACCCAAAGCCCCAAACCGCCAGAAAGCCCAACACGGGGCCTTCGAGCTGCTGCGGAGGATAGCGTCGGCGCCTACATTGTGTGGACCCCTTTTGGGGCTCCACTTGGGAACCCCTTCTACTAACAGCTCCTTCATAGGGAGTATAATAGGTGTACTACAATCCCCATTAGGGAGTATTAGTAGAAAAGGGAGAACGCCTTGAAATCCTGACAGAACCTTATCCCCTGAACCTGAACGCACCCAGGACCCCCCCCCCAAAAAACCCAAAAAGTCCCGAGGACGCCCGTAAAACCCCACACCGGATACTGAGGCCTGAAACAAGACGCCCAGTAACAGAACCCCAAATTTTCGACTGTAATTTGACAAGACCCTTATTTTGGCCCTTATGCGTGCTGTTGTGGGGTGCGCTTTGGAGGGGGGCTGTCAACCCGAAACCCTAAACCGTAAACCTCTCAGCCAAGTCCTGTGGGCGACAGCAGCTTGGGCGTCTTCGCACCTTGTCAAGAGAGAGAAAGAGAGAGAGAGAGAGAGAGAGAGAGTGAGAGAGAGAGAGAGAAAACAAAGAGAGAGAGAGAGAGAGAAAAAAGAGGGAGAGAGAGAGAGAGGGAGGGAGAGAGAGAGAGAGAGAAGACTAGAGTTTAGAAGGGAGAAGGGCTTAGGCTTCAGTGGCACTAGTGCTTAGGGCCTTAGGGACCCTACACCACTACATGGGTACTTGAGCCCCGAAGCTCCAAGCCCTAGGGACAAAGTCTAAACTGAAAACCCGACAACCCCACAAAACCCGAAAACCCCCAAAACCCCCCCCCCAAAAAAAAAAAAAACTACAACCCCAAAACCCGAAAACCCGAAAACCTAAAAAAAAAAAAAAAAAACGAAAACCCTAAAAATCAGAAACCCCAAAACCTCAAAACCTCAAAAACTCAAAACCCTACAAACCCCGAAACCCCAAACACTTAAAAAAGGCTAAAAACACCCAAACCTCGCAAAGCCCAAATCCCGCCTTCCCATGCCACAGCCACCTTTGACGTGGCACGGAAGCTCTCGATGGGCGTGCAATCTTGGAGCCAGAACAGTTATGGCTTACAATAGGGCTTCTGATGCGGGCTGGGACATTCACGGCTTTACATTGCATGATACTGCATGTGCCTGGAAATGTTTTGGGGGAAGTTAGGGAGGCTTAGAGGCTAGGGCGGCTTCGGGGCTCAGGGCTCCGGCTGGGAAGCATGTCATGCAGATGGGCGTCACTCACGTCTCTGCTCTAGAGAGCATTATTAGGACTGAGAGCTTGTATGACTTAGTTAGTTTTTTCTCCGAGTTTTGAGTTGGGAATACAGAAACAGGGTCCTATATGACCTAATTCCTTAATTCCTCACCAAAGAACCAACAAGTTGTAGCGTTCAGGGCTCCGATTTCCGATCCTGCCCTAGGCTGAAGGATCTCTCAGCGCCCGGTGCGTCACAAGCCTGCGGCCCTTCAACCCTCAAGGTCTCTGAATCTCATGGGTTTGTTTAGGGTTTTGGGTTCGAAATCCCTAACATGGTTTTGGGCTTTAGGGTTTGTGGCTTTAAGGCCTAAACCCCACGGGTTTTTGGGTTTGGGGGTTTGGGGCTTAGGGCTCAGGGTTCCCAGCCTGCGCCGCCGCCTGCGACATTGTCAGCTTTGCTGTTCGTCGCCGGCGCCCTCGCAAGCCATCTCCAACCGAATAGGGTTCAGGGGATCTTTAAGGTGCCCTGAGCCCTAAACCCTTGCTTCCCCAAGCCCTAAACCCTAAACCCTAAACCCTAAACCCTAAACCCTAAACCCTAAACCCTAAACCCTAAACCCTAAACCCTTTTCAAGGTCGGGGTGCCTAGAGGCAGCAGAAGGGCCTTGGTCGGGAGCGCGAGGCAGCCCCAGGGTGTGTGAGTCCCAAGCCCATCACACCAAAACAAAAGTGTCTGATAGAGGGCACCTTCTCAGTGGCAAGAATAACCCTAAACCCTAAACCCTAAACCCAAAACCCCAAACCCTGAAACCCTAAACCAAAGGGTGCCCTTGTTCTGGAAACGGTGGCTCCCCCGTTTTTTGGTGCCCCCAAGTGAAATGGAAGATGCTGCGCTGGGAGCTCAAAAGAGTCCAAAACGTATCTTGGGGAAGGCCTTCGTGGGTTGAAGCTCATGGCTGCTTTCAGTCCACGTTCAGGGGCTTTGAAGTTGGGATGGCGGGCTCTTCATGGTTCAGGGTTTAGGGCTGTCAGAGTGTTTGAGGTTTGCGACAAATCTTAAACCCTTCACATGCACGCTCGGGCACGGCTGGTGGTAGAAGCCGTCGTCGACGTCTTCGACGACGATTGGGGCTACCTGCACACAGCGGAGGCACCAGGAGGCCCGGGATCCGAGGACAGGCGCACCTCTCTGAACCCCCCCGTCCCCAAGTGTCTCAACTTACTGGTCTCTGCAGTAACTTGAGGACTTTAGGGAAACTAAGCCTAGGTTAGGCACCACCCGCAAATTTCCTTTCGAAACCCAACAGAGACCCCGACTTTGGCCTGGGACGGCTTCTTGGTCGTTTTGCGGACAGCGCGTGCAAAGACGCGGGCATTCTTCTGCCCGGACTGCAGGACGAGGTAGGCCACAGCCTCTGACTGCGGGGGTTGGCGAAAAGGGGAGTTGAGGGTCGGGGGATTCTGTGCTGGGTAGGCCTTACAGACAATCCGCAATACACATCTCAACACTGATTTTCATGTCGTCCGAGCTGCGCCACCAATAAACAGGATCAGAACCACGATGACTATGCCCAGGGTGATCCACCTGGCCATTAGGACCCCTCAGATCCCGAGCCGCGAAACCCCCCCAAAACTCCGACAAACTTGATGCTGTCGGTGTAGAGTAAGATCGAATGTCCGGGGGCGGTGTGCACATGCACCCCCGTGAAAGGTCGAAGAGTCTAAGGATGTGTCCGATGCCTGGAAACCGTTGGCATGACTCAGTAGTCTGGACCCCAATAGAGTAGGGCTCCTCTTGTCCGCATCCGCAGCCACTAGCGCTTAGCCCCCGCCCCTCCGAGACATAGGGATGAGTTGAAGAATAACTGGGCACTGTCCCGATCTGAACTCACCTGAACATGACTGAAGCGTTCTGCTCACAGGTCTAGAAGCGGCTTCTTTGCCCGACTCCCTGAACTGTTAAATGCGGGCGAAGCACAGGGTGTCCTGCCAGTCTATGTCAGCGTTCACGCCCTCCTTGGAGCATGGAAAGAATCCCGGCATTTGTCACCCTCAACTCCTCAACAACCCAACCATAGGCCTTACGCTCAACTGCTTGTCACAACCTTGTCTTGGCTACAGAGCCAATGAGAAGCACAGCATGTTGCCGTGGGATCATCGTTGTGGCTGGGGGGTTGGGATGCTGGATGCCTAATCTAGGTCACAATGGTCCAGAGGACCAGGTTCCAGAGACAAATCATACCCCCTCGCCTTCTCTAGTTCCTAGTACACCCTCCATGCCCCCCTTTACGGAGCCCTAACATCTTGGTGCAACTGGATGCTGTAGAGTGCATGTAAGGCTGGGCCAGTGTATGTCCATCGAGCCAGCGTTTCTGGAGATTCTGCTTTGGGTCTCCTAGCAGAGGAATGGGCACTTTGGTGTCGGATTCGGGCCGAACCTCTGAACCCATCCGCAGCTCCGGGTCCAAAAAAAACGAGGCCCCCAATGCAGACGCAGCTGCGATGGCCGTGCCGAAGATGTAGACATTCGCTGGCAGTCCTTCAAGGTGCTGGGAATCGGGCCCATCGGGGGGGGAAGGCAAGGGGGGGGGCGGGAGGCTTTCAAGACTTCGGAGTCGAGGTTCGATGCCCAAGTCGTCAGGGTTGTGATGATTAGGGTGACTCGTATTCTCAGGCAGGTAGTCATGGAATGCGCCTTTGGGCCGTTTCAAGAGATGCTGCGCTCATGCTCCCGAGCTCTCAGCACTACATGACTCAACCCCGCAAACCTCAAACCCTTCTGGGCCTGTGAAGTTGTTCCCGGCCAGGTCCTTGCGCCAGGGGGAAGGGGGTTGTGCCGGAACTTAGAGAGAACTTGCCAAACGGTTGCAAGTTCCGATCGTGTAAGTGGGTCTTGTGGAAGTTTTGGTTCCGGAAGTCAACGGGGTTCGGAGCTTTGGAGGCGCTACCGAGCAGAGTCTAAATACCGCGGCGAGACCGACAAAGGGGGGCTTGAGGAGCTGAGACGCTGAGCCTCCCAAAAAAAAGGCCCACACCCAAAAAAAGAATCATTGGGCGGGTGAGGGGGGGGGGGGGGGCTCAACAAGCTCACCTTCTCCCATCCAGATAGGGTTCTTGAGCTTCCGGGCCCCTTAAAGCATTCTGACAAGCATTCCGAGATACGATCCTTTCAAGCCGAATAAGAAAAGGTATAACATGTCTCAAGGGCTTATCAAAGTTAGGGCTGAATCGTTCTCATGCGCTAATCCCAACTCTAAACTGACTTAAAACCGTAAAATCAAAATAAAATCCCAAACCCACACCCCTGTCCGGTGCTTCGGGTTTGTTTGCGCCCTAGTGCCGCTGGGTCTCGTTGAGAGAAGAAGGCGGCAGCGCGATGGAGTAGAAGCTGTTCGGCTCCTGTCCGTGCAGTGGGGGGTTTGGGGGGTTCAGAGTTAGGGGCTAAGGGTGGACGGTTGCAAGTGCAGGCACCCTAAACCCTAAGCCCTAAGACCTAAGCCCTCAACCCCAAACCCCGAACCCTAAACCACAAGTATCACTAACTCAGGGTGTTGGACTGCATCCCCCCCTTCTACTACCAGTCCTTCATAGAGATTCTCGTACCCCCTAGTCTGATCCCTATCATCCCCATTAAAGACTAGTTAGTATGAGGGGGGAACATCCCAACTATCCCGAAAGTCTCAGGAAAACCTACTTGGACCCTGGGTCCGCCAGCTCCGGCCTATGCCTTCGAAGAGGTGCTCAGGATTCTGTCGGTAAGGCTGTGGCGTTCCAGCAAGACTTCGGGGCTTTTCCTGGGGGGGCTTGGGTGATGCCAGGTTTCTAACATAAGCCATCTTATCGACGTGGCTGCCTCTTGTGGCAACTGCCAGCATATGACCCCCGAGCTTTTGAGGTCTGAGTCTTGGAGCTGCCCCCCATCTCCCCCTGGTGCTCCAGCTGCCCCGTCAGATCCACGGTGAGCGCGTCCGGGCTCAGGGTGACCTCTTGCAGCACCGGGGAGCTGAGAGCCGAATGCTTCCAAAGAGATACTGCAGCATATATTCTCAAGGTTGCAGTCCAGGGATACTCTGTGGTATGATTCTCTGCGGGAGTGTCTGACAATCTCTAAAGGAGTAGGCACTCCTGGCGGGAAACTCTGCAGGATTCACAGGGAATGGACACAGCAAAGCCCAAAATTGCCTGAACCCTTTCCTGTATCCTCAAACCTCCACCCTCCACCCCCCCCCGGTCCCCACCTCCTTGGAGGGAAAGTTGAAAGATGCCTGAAAATGGGGATGCGTGACTGGGGAGAGGTTCTCGAAGGGGTGGGAGGAGAGCCGGCATTCCGACCCATGCCCACAAACCACCCACCTGAAAAAGAGTAGTCAACAGATAAACTCTACAGCAACATGGTGGTATATAAGGTACCCTGTAAGTTCGGAAACCCTAAACCCCAAACCCTAAACCCTAAACCCTAAACCCTAAACCCGAAACCCTAAACCCTAAACCCCCAGATGCCTAAACCACGAGAATCCACGGGAGCTGGCCGAGGCTCTATGGGGACGTTGTTGGAGGCATCGCCACTGCGGTAAAGATCCACCCGACGTGATGCCTGGGCTAACATAGCGGCCTGAATGATTATAATAGGTTTTTCTTTTTTTATTTGGGGGGGGGGGGGGTATTCTGGTATAGTTCTAGAGGGACCATACGGGAACACTCTGACCTCAGAACCCTACAGATGCCGATCCTTCAGGCAACGCCCCCACGGCACGCGGAAGGCCGCACTTGCGACTTAAACCCCGTAGTCCTCGGGCTGACTACGAAACCACGCAACACAATCAACCTGAGCACTCAGGGCTACAGTGATCACCCTCGCCCACCCAGGCACCCGTCCACGCGCGACAGGCTCCGAGAAGAAAAGCTTGACCTGTGGGCGGCAGTTCTTGAAGCAACAGCCCGGCCCTGGACTGAAGCTTTGGACCTAGCTCTGGAATGAGGGCACCATTAGGCTGAGATAAGAGTTCAGGGAGCAGTAGACTGCTGGCGGAACTCCAGAGTCCTGCCAGCCCTGAGCTTCGAAAACTCCTGCGGCTTAGTGCTTAGAAAGATGCTCGACCTTGAGCCGCGCGCAATGGAGATTTTGGAGCCCTCAACCAGGTCGGGACTTCTCACCCCATGATGGTACTCGGAGGTGCTGAAATCAGGATGAGGATGCTGATGAGGATTCGGCGTCGTCGCCGGGGCGTTGCATACGTGCGTGCGTGCGCTACATACATCAGCTCATCGCATGGCATTGCATTACACAGCATCGCCTTGTCTGACCTATCCCTGCCTTACCTTGTACTGCACGAACGCTACATGACAGCCTTATGTTGTGTTCTATTGCAGCGCCTAGCCACACAGCAAGGTACGATCATGCGTGCCTTTCCACGTTCAACACTTCTGCGTGAAACGCGGCTCCGGCCACGGAGACCGAGGGACGATTAGAAACATGCTCGGAACTTAGGAGCTTACAAACTCGTCCCGACCTCACACCCAGGAAACGAGCTTTGATGGTGGGATCAATTGAAACCAAAAGACCATGAGAAGGCTTCAGAAGGCTCAGATTGCCGGCAAGCCTCCCGGCCCTTAACCTGAGGACCCATTCCCCAACCGGCCTGGATGTCCACTCCCAGCCCGCGCACGCTGTTGGGGGGATCGAACTTGTCGATGGTAGGCTTCTTTGTATCCTGAAGGCATTCAGGGTAGGTCAGCACTCCATGCTAAAACGTTAGAGCTCTTGTTTTGGGAGCAGTGTGCACAAGAAACCACAAGCCAAAAAACCCAAGCCCTAACTCGGAAACCAATCCTCAAGAGCTTGACACCAGGGCACCGGCAGGTACAAGAAGTACTGTCCCATGGTCATACCCCCATGCCTTGCTGTGAGTTGTTTGTAGGGTTCTTAAGCGAGGGAGGTTCATGGAGGAGTAGGTACCTAGGGAACCTTAGGGAAGCTTAGGGAGTAGTGGGGCGCATTAGGGAACCTTGGGTTACATACCCCCCCCCAAAAACCCCTCCCTCAAGAACCCTGTAAGTTGTCAGCTGAGGGATGGGCTTGCCTTGAGGTTTGTAATGTGGGGGGGGGACTATGACTAGGGTTTCGGGTAGGCTTCTGGCGCACCCTCAAGCTCAACGTAAGCAGCACGCAAGTATGAGCCCTTCTAGCCCAGCACAGAAACGAACACGACCTGTGCTACGGGTTTGGGGATCCAACTCCGAAACTCGCTTTTGGCCCTCAGGCCCTTCAGGAGGGGATTTCGCATCAGTTCCAGGCCCGGCATGCATCTGCCGTAGCTGAAAAAGCTCAGAAGGCCCCTGAAGAAAGGAATGCCAAACTATGCCCCCATCACTGCACTCAATCAGACCTCAACTCTCCGAAGCCCCTGATTTTCCTAAAGCTGGCCCGGATGCGGCAAGCCTGACTGAGCCTTAGCACTGAGGGCTCGAGGGCGACAAGTGACTGGGAGCGGTTTTTCGGTACAAGGGTGTCACCTGGTAACCCCCCCCCCTCCCCCCCAAACTTAACAAACACAAACCCCAAGCAAATCAAGCCCTACAGCAAAGGGATTTTGGCAAGGCAAAGTCGGGGTAGCCCACAGGTCAGGACAACTTTTCGGCACCCATCTGACCCAGGCTCCAGGGTTCTGGATGGTTTGGGGCTTCAGGTGGTGGTGAGTGCTGGAGGACCTTGGAGTAAGGGAGAGGTGCAGGGCGACATTGCTTGATTGGGCTGGGCCCTGGGGGTTTAGGGCCTCAACCCTACTCCCCCTGATCAAGTTCCTAATCTATGGTATGCAACTGGTGGGAACTCCTGGGGACTCGCATGACGCAGCTCAGGTCAACACCAGAGATGTTTGTTTTAGAAGGTTTGCAGGCCACGAGGCCGAAACGATGATGTTGTTGGCGATTGTCAGGAAACAGGTTCTCCTGTTGGGCAAGGCTTCGACACGTCGGACCCGGACAGGAAATGCTTTGAAAGCTACCAGGAGCTTGAGCTTTGTTAGGGTTCAGGGGTCCTTTTTTGGCAAAGCCGTGCGTGCAAACTGCCTTGTTGCGTGCATTGACACTCGCCCTGAAGATTGTTGGATGGCGCTGCTGATGCAGTGCATCTTGCTGGTTCTAGTATTCCTCGTCCAGTAATTCCTCGTTCAGAAAAATTAGCAAAGTCGTTTGGGAAATGCGCTTCGTGGTGATCCCTAAATCCAGCAGGGCTGCTTCATTCCTCTTCTTCTAGCTGCGGATCGGATTCTCAGACTGAACCCTACAAGATCAAAAGGGTCTTCGAGCTGTCTCAGTAAACTGTCCTGAGCCTGCTAGGGGAACGTGGAAAGGCTCTGTACCAGGTCATATGAACATATGAAGCTTGATTCCGACACCCTCCTCAGAACTCTACGTAACACGCGTCAATACGCCTCAAGTGCTTGCCAACCAAAGGCCGTTGATCAGGGTAGCGCGGAGTTTGGTCTTACTCGAAGACAGGAGCTGCAAACCAAGCGTAGCTTTTCGAATGCTGACTCGGCCAGCGCGCCCTGTGTCAACGGGCTTATTCCAGGAGATTTGGCTACCTAGATACTTGTCTTAACCCGGGAGCCATCCTTGAATGGTACAGAGGGGAATTCCCTACAAAAGTGGTCTCTTGTGTTCCTCCTGCTCAGCTATCCAGAAAACTCCTGACAGACCCTCCGCACCCCCCCCCCCCCACCCACCCCCCTGCACTGTGCACCATGAATCCAACCCTAAACCCTAAACCCTAAACCCCAGGATGCCAGGTCTCCTGAAATCATTGGCCAAGTGGAACAGGTCTATCTGAAAAATGTTCTCGTTCGTCGAAAGCAGAGACTTGCCTCAACTTGTCAAGCATAGGGTCTAGGGTCTAGGGTCTAGGGTCTGGGTCTAGGGTCTAGGGTCTAGGGTCTAGGGTCTAGGGTCTAGGGTCTAGGGTCTAGGGTCTAGGGTCTAGGGTCTAGGGTCTAGGGTCTAGGGTCTAGGGTCTAGGGTCTAGGGTTTAGGGTTTAGGGTTTAGGGTTTAGAGTTTAGGGTTTAGGGTTTACTGTTTAGGGTTTAGGGTTTAGGGTTTAGGGTTTAGGGTTTAGGGTTTAGGGTTTAGGGTTTAGGGTTTAGGGTTTAGGGTTTAGGGTTTAGGGTTATCTCGAGGCCTCTGCGCCTTGTGCAAGAAGGCCTGCCTGAATGACGGCCATGATGAACAGGGTGAATCGGGAGTCTTCACTTGACGTATTTCTTACTCATTAGGGTTGAGGGTTTAGGGTTCAGGGTTCAGGGTTTAGGGTTTAGGGTTCAGGGTTTAGGGTTTAGGGTTTTAGGGTTCGTCTCTACTTGTAGTTTTTTTCCTGACTGACCTTTTAACCTATGTTTACTGCATGCCTTCACGCATGTTCTGTTCTGTGGTGAGCCTTCATGGCTTATTCGGTTCAATTTTTTTTCCAGGGGGCCACTCATGACCCGGGAAGTCCTAACGTTTCCCCTTGCTCCTGGTGCATACATGAACGGTTCCGGAACATAATGGCCTTTGGGGGTACTCCAACAGCTCCCTAGGGACCTTCGCTCAAAGGCACGATTTCAAGAAAAACCGTTCAAACACGATTCACAAGACAGCGAGACTCCCTAGCAACAACCCAACAGAAATAGCTCAGATGTCACAGCAGTGCAGCAGACCAAAAGACGCTGGAGCGGCTACGGCTCCACTGCGCCCGAGCCTAGATATCCGACATCTCAATCTCAGCCCGGCCACTGACCCAGAACGTTTTTCCACCATTCTCCTGGCATGACATGCAAGGTTTGGCAGAAACCAAGGTCGACAGGTCCAGATGACCCTGCGTCCCAAGCCCTTCAAAGCCCACCTCCCAGACATTGCAGCGCAGCTGCACGCCGGACTCAGCGTTGTCCTATGGATGGCCGATAGGTTGGGGTTCAAAAAGGCTTTCAAAAGCTGAGTCGGGTTTCGGACGGGCCTGGGCTCTGTTTGAGCCGCACATACTTCCAACAAAGGCAAGGAGGCAAAAAAAAAATTGCAGCTGCTCCATTTCCCGGGACGCCCCGAAGTCCAGGGATCACCCTCGAAGTTGTCAGCTGCCACCATCTCAAATGAACTACTTCACTACCTTCTTGACGGCATGCTAAAGCACAACTTCCCAACCAACCCTCTCCCAGTCCTGACTGGCCAATATCACGGGGCGGTCAAACTCTATCTGTCAGGTCGGGTGAACGTGACATGGGAATGTATGAGGTCTCAGCGATTGTGGCTGGCAGCTTGCATGCTCAGATTTGTTCAATCACCCTTCCAACACGAGGCGCAAATAGCCCCGTGGTGGGAAACCAACCTCGCGTAAAACGACAACTCGCTCCGAAACAAGAAGACACTTGGACTTCTCGTCCCTGCAGAGCCTGGGAACCCCCAATCAACTGCGCGCAATCCTGATGGCCTCGACGCTCCAGATGTCCGCCTCCCCTAGTTGCGAGCCCTCTTCTGGGATGACACGCCTAGCAGGGTGTAGACATGGGACGATTCAAGGATTCAGGTGGCTTCGGGCTTAACATCCAAACTACCATACAGAGCGCCATGTCGCACATCTCTACCAGGCCACACAGTTCATGCTTGCTCTGCAAACACTCAGGCAATAGCTTAATTGCAGCCAGAGGGCTCGATATGCGGGGTGCCACACCTGAGGCTGCAACCTATCCAAAATGGAGAAACAACTTTCGAGCTTTGAAGTGTACTCCACCAATCTCCACCCAAGCACCTATGTCCCGGCCCCAAACTCCAGACTGTCGTCCAGGGGGCCGGATCTGGCTAGGGCAATCGTCGCAGCTTGTGGCCGCGCTGTTCGGGGTGCTTCTGGCCACCTTGCGTCTGAACAAGGGCTGACGGAACCCAAAACTAACTTGAACCCTAGAGCTGAACCCATTTGGGAGCGGGTACGTTCACCCCCATCCCAGTCCCCTGGCCATGCCCCTACCCAACATCCGCGTGCGGGCGCAACAGCCCTTAGCTTCAGCGACTGGCACACTGCAACGGTCCCTGACCCTCCATGCCGGCAACCGTCCCTCTGGCTTTCCTGCGCCGCACGGGCGCTCGCGAGCCCACAAAGGCCCGTAGCTCTCGTGCCGACATCGACCGTGGGACCACAGAAACATCGACAAACGAGCCTTTCACAGGCGGAACCACGCGTCAAAGAGAACGCACAGATGCCTTTAAAACAAGATCTTGGTTCCCTGAGAGTCAAAAGGTCTTTTTGGAGCCTTTAAACCCAGACGGAGGTCAGAAATGGCACCCTCTCTTGCCTGACATTGTCCCCGATACTTAGGGCGCGGGCACAGCCGCCATTGGCGTAGATGCAGCCATAGCCGAACTTCGTCGCCCTCGCGAACGCGCAGTCGCAGGCCTCGGGGGCTTGACTTGATTTCAGGTTTCGGTTGGGACGCTCCCCCTTATACGAACAGTCCTTACTAGGGATTAGAACAGGGGGTACTATGATCCCTATTAAGGACTGTTAGTGAGAGGGGGAGCATCCTTAAGCCCTTAGAGGTCGGTTGGCAATGAGTCTGGAGAGTCCAGGGAGCAGGTAGCTCATAGGTGCTTGTGAACGGCACAGCCTAGAAGCCATGGCTTCCAGGATTGGATATGAAGTAGGGTATAAATGTCTTGTGCCCCCAAAAGAACACCCGGCATGTACCCTGACCAATATTTAAGAAGCAGCCTTATATACACTCAGCCATAACGGTACGATAAACCCTGCTTCATATGAGTTTCGGACAGCCACACAAAGTCTCCTCAAGCACGCGCAACCCTCACCCTCCTGCCGGAAAGGGGCCACCGACTTCTGCATGCACACGGTGGTCTGATCCGGC